ATTACGACGAACTCCTCACTCGACTAAAACAGACCGGGACAATAGCAGACTACCAGCTCGAGTTCGAAAGAATGGCGACCAGGGTACATGGATGGCCGGAGAAGGCTCTGGTAGGGTGTTTCATGGGAGGTCTCAGAGAAGACATCCGCCTGGAAGTGAGAGCTCTTCAACCAGCGACAGTCATGACGACGGTGGGAATGGCTCGCCTGCAAGAAGAGAAGATAGATAGCATGCGCAGAACCAGCAAGCCTTCCTACCCGAATGTGAGGGCTCCCCAGTGGACCGAACAGCAACCCATGAAACAAATTGGGGATTCTCAGAAGCCCATTCTGTCCAGGCCCACTGTGCCCTTCAAGCACCTCTCATGGGCTGAGATGCAGGCCCGACGCGAGAAGGGCCTCTGCTACAATTGTGATGACAAGTTTGGACCAGACCATAAGTGCTGAGTCCAGCGAGTGTTTCTCCTTCAGACAGAGGAAGAACCGGAAGAAAATGTAGAAGACTGTGAACTGATCTCAGTTGAACCAGAACTAGGGGGAGCCGAGATCTCCTTACACGCCCTCATGGGCCTCAACCCTCTTCAGTCCATGCGAGTAGAAGGAAGGTTGGTGGGCCGATCTGTGATGATCTTGATTGACAGTGGCTCAACCCTGAATTTCATCACTTGCCGATTAGCAAGGCAATTAGGTATGTCTATACAACCCACTCCACTCTTTTCAATCTATGTGGCTAATGGAAGTCAGTTGACATGTGATGGTGTGTGCAAGAAGGAAAGGATCCTTATACAAGGCCACTATTTCGTGGTGGATCTCCACCCATTGGATTTTTCAGGGGCTGATATTATTCCGAGAATTCATTGGTTACGTGGCCTAGGGCCAGCACTATGTGATTGGGCCAAAATGACAATGGACTTTTATCAAGATGGTCAAACTTGCCACCTCCAAGGGGTGCGACCTCCAAGTCCCCAAGGTGATACTGTAACTTCCATATTACGAGCCTCCAAGGATACTGGACAGCCCTTATTTATGCACTTAGGCATGCAGCCCACAGCTCCAACTTTAAACAATCAAGGCTGTGACCAACCCATGGAAGCCCAACACAAGGCACTACGATCGATACTCGATCATTTTGTTGATGTGTTCAAGGAACCAAGCCAATTACCTCCACCCCGGGCCCATGACCATCAGATACCCCTCTTACCAAATTTTAAACCGGCCAATGTGAGGCCATATAGATACCCCTATTTCCAGAAGCTAGAAATTGAGAAGGCGGTAAGAGAGCCAATGAACAAAGGGCATATAC